TTTAATATTGTAAGATCTGAAGCAAACACATCATAATGACATCATTTACTAAATCTTGATATATTATGAATATTTTTATTCTTTTTATTTTTGTGTTTGCTCTATTTAATTACAAAGAAAACTGCAATTAAAATGTGAAGTTCCAATATCAATGGGGAATGAATTCTACTAATTTTATAAGAAAATTATGTTTTTGAAAAAAGAAAACTGCTAAACACTAATAGAAATTACAGCCAGATTAAAAATCTAAACCTTTTTATGAAACGGAAATCTTAAAAAAAATCTGTAACAACATATTGGAGAATTTTTCTTACATTTCAGACAAATGGACTGCCAAATGCAAAAAATAATCACATAGGAAGTACTCTGCCAGATAATAATAGCTACAAGTTATTAAGCATTACTATCTATATACCAGGCCTTGTGCCTCATTTATCCTAACATAGAACTTTTGAGGTACATACTACAATTATTCCTAATTTAGGGATTTTTTTTAAAGATATAAAGATATTATAATATGTAATTACTCACCTCCAAACTAGTAATAGAGACTAAAAGACATGATTTGATGTGGCTTCTTAGTTCACAAAGATATCAAAAATTTCCATGTGCTTTCCTCTAATGTCTACCTTTAACTGATTTCAGGCTAAAAACGCCTGAACCAAGTTGGGTTATGGGATTCCTTCTTTTAAATATTTGAAACTGGAGTAGTAAGGCATTAAGAATGAGGGCTGTTGCTGCAGAAAGCAATATAAAAAAAACTGTTGTTGCTAGGTGCCATCAAATCAGCTCTGACTCACAGTGACGAATAAAACATTGTCCAGTCCTGCACCACTGTTGCTGTTGGAGCCTACTGTTGCAACTACTATGTCAACCCATCTCATTGAGGGTCTCCCTCTTTTTTGCTGACCCTCTACTTAACCAAACATGATGTCTTTCTCCAGTGATTGGTCTCACCTGATGACATGTCCAAAGTAAGCAAGACAAAGTCTCACCATCCTCGTTTCTAAACAGCATTCTGGCTATACTTCCTCCGAGACAAATGAGTTCATTCTTCTCAAAGTCCATGGTATATTCAATATTCTTCACCAACACCACAATTCAAATGTGGCCATTCTTCTTTGGTCTTCCTTTTTAATTATCCAGCTTTCGCATGCATACGAGGCAACTGAAAATACCATGGCTTGGGTCAGCTGCATCTTAGTCATCAAAGTAACATTACTGCTTTTTAACACTTTAAAGATTCCTTCTGCATCAGATTTGCCCAGTGGAATACCTCATTCGATCTCCTGACTGCTGCTTCCATGGGCATTGATGGTTGATCATTGATTCAGTTATGAGGATTTCTGTTTTATGTTCAGATGTAATCTATACTGAAGGCTGTAGTCTTTTACTTTCATCAGTAAGTGCTTCAAGTCATCTTCACTTTTGACAAGCAAGGTTGTGCCACCTGCATATCTCAGGTGGTTAAGTTTCCCTTCAATCCTAATGCTGTGTTGTTCTTCATGTAGTCCAGCTTCCCGGATTATTTGTTAAGCATATAAATTGAATAAGTAAGGTGAAAGAATACAGCTCAGCTGCACACCTTTTCCAATTTAAACCACGCAATACCCCCTATTCTGTTCTAACCACTGCCTCTTGATCCATGTACAGTTTCCACATGAGCATAATCAAATATTCTGGAATTCCCATTCTCTGCAATTTTGTCCATAAATTGTTACGATCTATACAGTCAAATGCCTTTGCGTAGTCGATAAAACACAGGTAAACATCTTTCTGGTATTCTTTGCTTTCAGCCAAGGTCCATCTGACATCAGCAATGATATCACTAGTTCCAGATCCTCTTCTGAATCCTGCTTGAACTTCCAGGCAGTTCCCTGTCGATGTACAGCTGTAGCCATTTTGAATCATTTTCAGAAAAATCTGTTGTTGTTAGGTGCCATTGAGTCAGTTCTGATTCATAGTGATCCTGTGTACACAGAATGAAACACTGCCCGGTCCTGTACCATCCTCGCAATTGTTATGCCCATTGTTGCAAACACTGTGTCAATCCATCTTCTTGAGGATCTTCTTCTCTTTTGCTGACCCTCTAACTTCACCAAGCATGATATCCTTCTCCAAGGATTGATCCCTCCTGATAACATGTCCAAAGTGTGTGATATGTAGTCTTGCCGTCCTTGCTTCTAAGGAGCATTCGGGTTGTACTTCTTCCAAGACAGATTTGTTCGTTCTTTTGGCAGTCCATGGTATATTCAATACTCTTTGCCAACACCACAATTCAAAGGTGTTAGTTTTTCTTCTGTCTTCCTTATTCATTGTCCAGCTTTCCCATGCATATGAGGTTACTGAAAACACCATGGCTTGGGTTAGGCACACCTTAAGTCTTCAAGGTGACATCTTTGCTTTTCAACATTTCAAAGAGGTCTTTTGCAGCAGATTTTCCTGATGCAATGCATCTTTTGATTTCTTTACTGCTGCTTCCGTGAGTGTTGATTGTGGATCCAAGTAAAATGAAATCCTTGACAACTTCAATCTTCTCTCCATTTATCATGATGTTGCTTATTGGTCCAGCTGTGAGGATTTTTTTTCTTTATGTTGTGGTGTAATCCATACTGAAGGCTGTGGTCTTTGATCTTCATCAGTAAGTGTTACAAGTCTTCTTCACTTTCAGCAAGCAAGACTGTGTCATCTGCGTATCGCAGGTTGTTAATGAGTCTTCTTCCAATCCTGATGCCGTGTTCCTCTTCATACAGTCCAGTTTCTTGTATTATTTGCTCAGCCTACAGAGTGAGTAAGTATGGTGAAAGGATACAACCCTGATGCATACCGTTCCTGACTGTACATTTTATGGTAATTTTTGTATTCTGTTTGATCACCTTTCTTTGGAATGGGCATAAATATGGATCTCTTCCAGTCAGTTGGCCAGGCAGCTGTCTTCCAAATTTCTTGACATAGACAAGTAAACACTTCCAGAACTGCATCCATTTGTTGAAGCATCTCAATTGGTATTCCATCAATTCTTGGAGCCTTGTTTTTCTCCATTGCCTTCAGCATGGCTTGTACTAGCAATACTACAGTAGTGTTTCTCAAACTCCTCTGGTAAGTATCACATGGTCTGTCTGTTAAAGTACAGATACTTGTGCCCAATTAAATGATAAAGAACCAAAATTAACAAAGGATAAGCTTGTTAATATGCATAGTTAAGAAATACCCCCAGTATTACCATCATCTAGAAAACTTTACACAAAATAATGGTTCCTAATATCGTGGAAACAATAGAACCACTTGAGATTCTTGTTAAAAATACAACAGATTAAAGCACTTAAAAAAGAAAGAAAGAAAAAGAAAAGTAAAACTGTAGATTAAAAGGAGCTTCCTATTGACAATTTTACAGGGTTTAACCTCACGTATCCCTGTGTCTCCCTGGAACTACTGTATCAGACTCTGCCAGAAGGGCAGCATTGTTAACAAGTACTCCAAAGGAGTTTTATGATGGAGCAAATTTGGGGGAAATTACCATAAAGAGAAAATATAGAGCTTAAGGTTCTAAAATTCTAGAAGTTAGACCAATTCTTGTCCTTTTAGAGCAGAGGCTGGCAAACTATGGTCCCCAGTCCAAATTCAACCTATAGTCTGATTTTGTAAATAAATCTTTATTGAACACTGCAATGTCCATTCATTTACATTGATTCTGGTCACTTTCTCACTACAATGGTAAAGTTAAAAGTTAAGTAGCTGCAATAGAGACCATGTGGTCTGCAGAACCTAAAATATTTACTATAAATATTTAAAATATTTACTACTTTTCCAGAAAAAACTGACAACTTCTATCTTAGTGTAACCACTGAAACAATATAATGAAAAGCTTTAGATGATAAGCCAAGAAAGGAGATAAACTGAAATAATTAAAATACTCAATCCAAAATAAGGCAGAAAAAGGGGAGGGGAGGAGGAGGAACACATGGAACAAATAAAACACAAATAGCTAGATGGTACATTTAAACCAAACATACTGGCAATCACATTAAATGTAAAAGGTTTAAACAATACATTTAAAAAGCAGAGATTGTTGGATTAGATGAAAAAGTAAGCCACAACTATATGCTTCCTACACCCCACTGACATTCAGTTTATTCCAACTCATGGTAACGCCATATATTACAGAGCAGAACAGTTCCGTAGGGTTTTCTTGGCTGTGAACTTTATGGAAACAAATGGCTGGGCCTTTCTTTTGTGGTGTTGCTGGGTGGTTTTGAACCACCAACCTTTAGATTAGTTGTTGAGTGAAAAATGTTTGTGCCACCCAAGAACCTAATACTATTCCTAATTTTTTTTCCTAATTCTTTGTAGATTTCCTTCCCATAATATGAAACATCTCCTTTAAATACAGTTGATTTAATTTTCACCTCCCAAGTTTTATTTTTATTCTCAAAAGTGTTGCTGGGAACTTCTAGCAATGCATTATGAATACTATACTATGAATGCTCTTAAACTGACTGTATAATATAAATCAACTAATCATTTAAGCTTTCTAAGACATTAAAATCAAGAAAAGAAAAAAAAATTCAATAGAAGAATCATACCAAATAGAAACCAATGCCTATGTGGAATAAAAAATACTCAAACATATATCAGTACTTTAAAATTTTTTAATGTTATTTATAAATCTTATGTTATTTAAAAAAAAAATTCAAGTACTATAATACTTTCATAGCTATCTCTCTGCATTTGCTATTTGGTAAACAAATCTATAACCTAGTATCTAACATAAGAAATATCATTAATTTGGGGAGACTCACATATTTTAGGCCTTTAGTCCTATTTTGAGTCTATCACAAAATTCCTAAACTTTAACTTTGTGTTTACATAAGCATATTTTTCTCCAAAATACACCAAGAAGGGGAAATGGCACAAAACTGAGTAAACAGTTACAGAGCTCTCAGGAGAGGGGGGAGTTAGAAAAAAAGTATAAATCTATGATAGATGTGTACTTTTATTACCTGAGCATTTAGCAGCTCCTCACACTTGTGTGCTTGTTTCTCAATTGCAGAAATGTACTGTTTTTCAATAGCTTCTACTTGTTGTTTCACTGAAGACTGCAGCAGTGCCTAAAAACAAAAAAAGTCATTTGGAGCTCAGACAAAACTTGGAGTTGGAGTCTACTGTTGGCATGCAAATTTTTTTGACATTTGTATATATATGAAATTTGATACTCTTCTGCATCTACAAAATATGCATGTGTGAATACTGAAGCACATTCATATATAACACCACTTTAAGCTTTCTTTTTGTTTTCCTATTGCCAAGATGACAGTTTTTTTACTCAGGCGTTCCTTCCACACACCTTCTCCTTAAACACTGCAAGTCATAGAAGATGATAAAGACGGTGAGTAGTTCTGTTAAATATAAATTCAGTGTAGTGAAGACCACACAGGATGAGAAGCGTATGAAAGCAGCTTTAAAAAAAAAAAGCAAAAGGAAAAAAACCAGACATATTTCACTGGCTGACAAAACTCCACATCCTCTCGGCACACTGTAGTATCCCATGGGCCAAGCATGATCTTCAAGACCACAAGTCAAGTAAAAGCAGATGGAAACTCTGAGCAATTTCAAACATAAAAGAACTACCCCCCAGGAAGTTCACACCCCTAATGTGAAAGGTGTAAGTCGGCATGCAGAAGTCAGAGTCACAAGGCAGTATTCCTAAAAGGTCATAAAACTTGGGATACTGGACAAACGTAACTGGATACTGTAAATGCTGGACCCTCAGTCCGTTAAACATAAAGACGTTTGCACTGTTCTAAGGGAAGCCAAATCAGCATTTGAAGACGTTCCACCCACTCACTTCCTTATTGGAGATGCTTAGAATATTATTATCTTTTTTCCTATTTTTTAAAGCATTATATGTTATGCTTAAATGTTCTTAATATCTTACATGTTATTTATAAATCCTAAATCATTCTAAAATATGCACTTAACCATATATATAAAAGCTCTTCAGCAAATAGTCTATTTTTAAAGGTCTATCTGGATAATAAAGTACTCATAATCAAAATAGTAAGTTGAAACAGACACAAGCCTTATAGAAAACAGACCTTTGGCACACTCACCAAGAAAAAGAAAATAAGCCAAATCTCTTAAATAATCTCTGTTTTGAAAATAGATTTACTTGGTTGGAAACAACACACATTAAGATGCTAAATAAATATGCATGTATTTTTTTTAAACTGGGACAAAAATATTTTTAAAACCGCTGAAACGGTCTCTTCAATTTTCAGATAATTAACTTTCTTTTGCAAATGTTAGATGGTTTGACGATGCTACTTACTCCTGTAATTCAGTAGCTGTCACTCTGAAACTGCAGAGAGAATTACTAGTAAATTACTAATAAAAAATAAACCTCTGAGATTTAATAAAAATATAAGGATTTGTACAACTGCTTTATTGCTGCTGTTAAATGCCATCAAGTCAACACTGATCCATAGTGACCCCATGTACAAAAGAATGAAACACTGCCAGGTCCTGCACCATCCTTCCTGACAATCGTTGCTATGTTTGAGCCTATTGTTGCAGCCACTGTGTCAATCCAACTCATTGAGGGTCCTCCTCTTTTTTGGCTGACCCTCTACCAAGCATGATGTCCTTCCCCAGGGACTGGTCCCTCCTGATAATCTCGCCATCCTCACTTCTAAGGAACACTCTGGCTGTACTTCTTCCATGACAGATGTGTTCGTTTTTCTGGCTTTAGCTCTTCATTTATAGGATGTATGTCTTCTAAAGATTCCATAATAATTCATTTAAATTAATCATATAGAATAATATAAAAAAATCTATAAACTGAAATGTATTCTCCTTACAATGTGACTAGATAATTTAAATCCCAAATTTACCATTGGTACTTTATAATATCCTATTTGCTGGGCTTAAGAAAATTTAAAGAACGGTACAGTTACAAACAATTTTCTTGGAATAATCAGTCTATTGTAACTACAGAGACAGAGCATCTTTCACAGAGAGAAAAACACCATTCTCTTTTGGGACTTGTGATAAGACAGAATTGTTTTTGCTTAATGGAAGGGACTGTTTTCGCTTTCCTATTTGCCAGATAAATACACCAATACCTGGTTCCAAATAATCCTATGTATGCTCATTTCATATGCAGACAGGCTGTGCTTAAACTACCAGGCAGCTGTTAGACTGCTAAGAATGGGACACTACACCCACTGGCATCAAACATTTTATGGCGCTAAATTCATTTGTGTTCAAGCTGGACACATGAAATACTTATGCAATACTGACAAAGTCAAAACCACTATTATTATTTATAAAAGCAAACAGTAAACAATAACAGATTCCCAAAGCAGAAATTCTTACCCTTCCTGAAATTACCTATGTCTATTCCTGTGTTGCTGAGCTGGCATGCCATAGTCCAAGTCGGATGCTGTGTTCATGTCACTGCTGCCTCTGGCTACCACCATGCTGCCCAAAGCTTCTACTCTAACACTGGGACTCACAGGCCTCTGCTGCCAGCTCCTGCCACACTACCTGGGCCTGTGGGGCTCTCCTGCCACCACACTGCCCAGGCCCCTGCTGCTCAGGAGGGGCAGCATGCAACCCCAGCACAGGGCACACTCAGATTTCTCTTAACAAGTGTTACAGTTCTTTTGGCTCCACTTTTAGCTCCATCTGGCTCCTGCCGTAAGAAGACGCCTGCACAGGATCCTCCAGGAGGTTCTCAGTGCAGGGGCACCAGGTCCTTGGTCAAAAGGACATGCTCCACTCCAGACTCTTCTTCTTGATGGTAGTGAGGTCCCCTAGAACATATGTAGTATTGATCCTTATATAAGCCTACTTCTTGTCAATTTCAAGACATAGTCCTCCACCAGGACCACGAACTGACCAATCTTCTCAGTAGACCACAAATGCTTAATTTGCACAGTAAACTGACCAATCTCCTCAGCAAACCATACATCACTCAGTTTACACAGTCCCAGCCAATCATTCTGTGACATTTACAAGAACATGGCTAGAAAGGCCATACGAAAGCAATTCATTGCACCACATCCTACAAATTAAATACCAAATTCTAATTTTTAGCTGTTGTTGTTAGGTGCCGTCGAGTCAGTTCCAACTCACAGTGACCCTATGTACAACAGAATGAAACACTGCCCTATCCTGAGCCATCCTCAAAATTTTTGTTATGCTTGAGCCCACTGTTTCAGCTACTGTGTCAATCCATCTCCTTGAGGGTCTTCCTCTTTTTCACTGACCTTCTACTTTACCTAGCATGATGTCATTCTCCAGGGACTGATCCCTCCTGATAACATGTCCAAAGTATGTGAGACGCAGTCTTACCATCCTTGTTTCTAAGGAGCATTCTGGGTGTACTTCTTCCAAGATTGATTTGTTTGCTCTTTCAGCAGTCCATGGTATATTCAATATTCTTCGCCAACATCACAATTCAAAGGAGTCAATTCTTCGCTCTTCCTTATTCATTGTCCAACTTTCTCATGCATACGAGGCAAATGAAAACACCATGGTTTGGATGAGGCACACCTTAGTCTTCAAAGTGACATCTTTGTTTTTTAACACTTTAAAGAGGTCTTTTGCAACAGATTTACCCTACGTAATGTGTCATCTCATTACTTGACTGCTGCTTCCATAGTCGTTGATTGTGGATCAAAGTAAAATGAAATCCTTGTCAACTTCAATCTTTTCTCCGTCTATCATGATGTTGCTTATTGGTCCAGTTGTGAGGATTTTTGTTATCTTTATGTTGAGGTGTAATCCACACTGAAGGATGTGGTCTTGATCTTCATCAGTAAGTGCTTCAAGTCCTCTTCACTTTCAGCAAGCAAGGTTGTGTCATCTGTATATTGCAGGTTGGCAATGAATCTTCCTCCAATCCTGATGATGCACACTTCCTCATATAGTCCAGCTTCTTGGATTATTTGCTCAGCATACAGACTGAATAAGTATGGTGAAAGGATATAACCCTGACACACACCTTTCCTGACTTTAAGCCACACAGTATCCCCTCATTCTGTTTGAATGACTGCCTCTTGATCTATGTACAGATTCCTCATGAGCACAACTAAGTGTTCTGGAATTCACATTCTTCACAATGTTATCTATAATTTGTTATGATCCACACAGCTGAATGCCTTTGCATAGTCAGTAAAACACAGGTAAACATCTTTCTGGTATTCTCTGCTTTCAGCCAGGATCTATCTGACATCAGCAATAATATCCCTCATTCCATGTTGTCTTCTGAATCCCACTTGAATTTCTGGCAGTTCCCTGTAGATAAACTGCTGAAGCCGCTTTTGAATCATCTTCAGCAAAATTTTACTTGTGTGTGATATTAATGACATTTTTCAATATCTTCCGCATTCTGTTGGATCACCTTTCTTGGAAACAGGCATAAAAACGGATCTCTTCTAGTCAGTTGGCCAGGAAGCTGTCTTCCAAATTTCTTGGTATAGATGAGTGAGCACTTCCAGTACCACATGTGTTTGCTGAAACATCTCAATTGGTATTCCATCCATTCCTTGGAGCCTTGTTATTTGCCAATGCCTTCAGTACCATTTGTTCCCGATTATATGCTACCTCCTGAAATGGTTGAACGTCAACGAACTCTTTTTGGTACAGTGACTCTGTGTATTCCTTTCATCTTCTTTTGATGTTTCCTGCGTCGTTTAATATTTTCCCCACAGTTATCTCAATATTGCAACTCGAGGCTTGAATTTTTTCTTCAGTTCTTTCAGCTTGAGAAATTCGGACCATGTTCTTTCTTTTTGGTTTTCTATCTCCAGGTCTTTGCACATGTCATTGTAATACTTTACTTTGTCTTCTCAAGTCACCCTTTGATATCTTCTGTTCAGCTCTCTCACTTCATCATTTCTTCCTTTCACTTTAGCTACTCAACATTCAAGAGCAAGTTTCAGAGTCTCTTCTGACATCCATTTTGGTCTTTTCTTTCTTGCTTGCCTTTTTAATGACCCTTTGCAAACTTGATGTTATTCCAAATCTCCTCATAGTGTTCAATGTGTCCAATTATTCTTGAGATGGTCTCTAAATTCAGGTGGGATATACTCAAGGTCGTACT